ACAAAACAGAAATAAGTGTGCTAAACCTTCGGTAGGTTTGTCTCCTATTTTACCTTTCTAAAAGAAAGAAGAAACACCCATCCTTCTAATGCCATGACATCATTGCCAAGCATCCTGCTAGAGCAGGGGTGGTCTCTCTCTCTCTCTCTCTCTCTCTCTCTCTCTCTCTCTCTCTCTCTCTCTTCTCTGTCCGTCACCAGTCAAGGTGTGCTCGGCCTCAGAGGCACTCTTGCATGGTCTTCTGCCTAGTATTCTGCCGTGGTGGCACGGTGGTTAGAATGCAGTACTGCAGGCTGACTGCAGTTTGGCAGTTCGATTCTCACCGGCTCAAGGTTGACTCAGCCTTCCATCCTTCTGAGGTCGGTAAAATGAGGACCCAGATTGTTGGGGAGCAATCTGGTGACTCTGTAAAGCACTGTGGAGCAGTGCATGAGTCTAAGTTCTATTGCTATTCCTAGACATGCATCTGGGGGTACCTTTAAAGCAGGGGTAGTCAACCTTGGCTCTTTTATGACTCGTGGACTTCAACTCCCAGAATTCCTGAGCCAGCTAAGCTGGCTCAGGAATTCTGGGAGTTGAAGTCCACGAGTCATAAAAGAGCCAAGGTTGACTACCCCTGCTTTAAACCCTGGGCAAACCTTTCTTTTGCAGGCTGTTATTTATTTTAGTCTTTTGTCCCAGTAGCAAACAGTTCTGCCTTGTTTTTGCACCTGCCATCTTTTTCTGAGAGCCTCTAAAGCTCCAGGCTTTGAGTTCTTCGCTGGTAAATGAAAGGGAGCTTGTGAAATAATTGCAATTCTGCTTGGCAAATTCCGGGCACTCCATTTTCAAGAGACTTGCAATTTTATTTTATCTTCCTCCAAAATCCTCTGTCTCTTATCATTCTAGCTCCGTATCTGCCTCTGATGGCCTTCCTTTTCCCTGCCCTTCCCTTCTCTCTCCAGATCCTGAATCCAACCATTTTGCAAAGAGCAGGCAATTAATTCCCCCACCATCTGTTCTGGCAGAGTGGCGGAAACAAGCAGCATTTTCTGCCTATTCCCCTCACCCCTGAGGTGCGGATGCTGACTTCTTACATTACAGACTCTTTCTTTAAAAAAAATAAAATAAAATCTGATTCTGGAATACAAAGTAGACTTGTGTACTTTTCCCTCCTGCTTTATTTTGGTCAGTTACACACTCCTTACAGACAAAATTTCGTATAGCTTCTTGCATCTCGTAAAAATTGTGATGCCATATGCACACCCTACGTCAGTGGGGGCGAACCCATGGCACGCGTGCCAGAGGCGGCACTCAGAGCCCTCTCTGTGGGCACACACACCATGCCCTGGAGATGGCAACTGTCCCTCTTCAACCAGCTGCCTGCTAACTCGCCGAGGTCCCAAGTGGCCGGATGCATCCCAGCATGGCTGCTTTCCCTCCCCCCCTGTCCCATCCCTCCTGGCCTTGCATGCTCTCCTTTTCCCGGGCACGACCCACTGCATCACCTCCTTAGCTGTCGGCCGGCCATCCAGCTCAGAGGCGGCTTCTCTGAACTGCTGGGGGCGGGCTGCGGAGCCCCAGAGTGCGCCGGTCGAGGGGCCGGCAGGCTGTGGCTGCTGTGTGCGGGGGCCGATGGTGTCAGGCAGCAGCTGCCCCGACCCCTGCCTCGCCTTGCCTTGCGACAATGGCACCTCCGCCTCGCCTCACCTCACCCCACAGGACGAGCCTCCTGCCCACCGCCCCACCTGCCAGAGACCCCCTGGATCTCCGCCAACCCTGCCTGGCCCCCACAGGCATCCCTTCCTATGAGCAACATCGAGGTGACCGTGCCCACCTTGGCCACACCCACCCAGTCTGCCATGACCACCACAGCCACGCCCATCCAGTGGGCCACGCCCACCTGGCACCCGGCGATAAATAAGTGGGTTTTGGGTTGCAGTTTGGGCACTCGGTCTCTTAAAGGTTCGCCATCACTGCCCTACGTAATCGGCATATAAACTACAGAATAGATGTCACTCCCACTAAAGCCCTGCCGAAGGAATTCCAGCTTTTCCAATCTTGCACCTGGTCGTTACGTTGGATTATAATCCCCCATTGTGCTCATTCGGCACAGCCTGTAAAAGCCACCAGGGGGGAGTGAGGGAAGCAGGGGAGGGGAAGAAAAAGAAAAAAAAATAGCTATGGATCGCCAGGTATATTGGGTCAGACAAAAGAGCCATCCCCTTCTTGGTTTTGTCTGTTTCTGTGTCTTAATTTGTTTCCCTTTCAACGCTCTGTCCCTTCGAAAGACGCAGATCCTAACTCGGGAGGGGACAGTCGTGACATCAGTAACACCCCCCCAGTTTTGGTGGCACAAGGTTTCTCCAAAGCGGAGGTGAAAATAGAAACATGGGACCTCTCAGTCGTTCCAGTTTCCACTCCTAAATACTTTCCCTGCCCCACAATCCTCCAATAATCTACTGATAAAATGTAGTCACTTCGCCACCAAATTCCAGGGATTTTAAAGAATGAAAATGGGAACAGTTCGCTTCCTAGAAGCTTAACAACTCATCCCTACCCATACAATCTCCAGCCTCCCAAATAGCCCAGAATTAGGCAAAACAGGGCAAAAAAAAAAAAGAGCCAATTTAGTCTAATGGTTAAGGCACCAGGCCTCAAAGCCAGAGACCAGGAGTTCAAGTCCCACCTTAGCCAGCAAAGCCAGCTGGGTGACTTTGGGCCACCTCACAGGATTGTTGTTGTGGGAGAAAGAGGAAAGAGTACCGTGTGTGTTTGCCACTTTTGAGTTATTTGTAAAAATAATAGAGTACAAACCAAACAAATAAAATGATTGTAGTCTTCCAGTGACATCACCGTCTTTCTTCCTGTTCATCCTCCAGGTTGTTCAGAGTGGGAGTTATGCTCCCCAATTTGGAGGAAGTTGCTAACCCCATTAGAACTATAGATTTACTCACCACCCCCGCCCAAAACTGGTCAGGACTGTCTCAGCTCTTCCAGTAACGATTTAGTGAAGCTCTCCCACATATCTGCTTCTCTCTTTTCCCACTCAAAGATTCCCACCACATACGGCTCAGCTTCGCTCGTGTGTTCAGGTTTAAAAAGCAGATGCTGTCTCCCTGAGATTGAAAGAGAAAGGATTTTTTTTTTCCTGCTGTCTTCCAGAATGTCTTTGGGGCTGGATCTAGAATTCTTTTAGCTCAGCCCCATCATGCTGGCTGAGTTTGAACTGAACTTAGCAGTTAGTAAACTGAACTGAACTTAGCAGTTAGTAAAAACAAAAGCCAATTCCAATAAATGGATAGGCTTTTTCAGATGGGAGAAAAAGGAAGCGCCTAAATGGGCGGGTCAGTTTGCCACTCACATGGTACCTGAAGATTAATAATAATAATAATAATAATAATAATAATAATAATAATAATAATAATAATAATAATAATAATAATAATAATAATAATAAAAAGTTGGAAGGGACCTTGGAGGTCATCTAGTCCAACCCCCTGCTCAGGCAGGAAACCCTATACCATTTCGGACAAATGGCTGTCCAGTCTCTTCTTAAAAACTTCCAGTGTTGGAGCNGCCACTTGTTCAAAATCTCACCACTGGGTGTAATTGGTTGCAAATTTGTTATTGTTTTTAAAAAAATATCTTACTTGTTTTGATCATATCTGTCCTCCAGGAAATGCACTAGGTTTTCTCACCATTTTTACTTGTTGCAATCTAAAGAGAAGCTTGCATGAAGAGCTCATGAAGAGTCCAAAGGTAAACCTCGCAGTTCAGGAGGGTTTGAAGTGAGATCAATGCTTGGTCCAGAACAGGGGTCTTCAAACATGGCCCTTTTATGACTGGTGGACTTCAACTCCCAGAATTCCTCAGCCAGGCACATCTGGGAGTTGAAGTCCACCAGTCATAAAAGGGCCAAGTTTGAAGACCCCCAGTCCAGAAAATGAGCAAGCTTTGGCCATATTTTTCTGGCTGAGGTCCATATGGCAATAGTAGTGGGCATAATTAAGAGGGAAATGAAAATATCCCATGGACACTGGTTACTGTAGTTTCCGTTTCCGCACTACGGGTAGTCCTTGACTTATAAACATAATTAAGCCTGCAATTAAACCATTCTGGTTGTTAAGTGAATTGTCTAGTGACCACAACCCAATTTTACAACCTTTTTTGTGGTGATTGTTAAACAAATGCAGCAGTCATTAAATGAAGGTAGCAGTCGTAAAGCGAACCTATTCTTCATTACGGACTTTTTTACTGGAAACGAAAAGTAAATGCTGGTTTCTGACAAAAACATAAATCGCAGTCATGTGACCATTTTTGTTGAGCACCCCCAAATATGGCCACGTGACTGCAAGGGTGCGGCTGTTGGAACTTCATATCTGGGTCACAAATACCTTTTTTTTTTAGGTTAGTCATAACTTTTGATCGCTAAGCAACCGGTCATAAGTTGAGGACTACCTGCACAACAGTTTAGTGACTGTTTAAAGTGACAACGGCACTGAAAAAAAGAGACATGTGACCGTTTTTCACATTTAGGACCGTTGCAGCATCGCCAGGGTCATGTGATCAAAATTCAGACCCTTGGCAATTGACTCACATTTATGACGGTCGCTGTGTCCCAGGGTCGTGTGATCCCCTTTTGCGACCTGCTGACAAGCAAAGTCAATGGGGAAGCCAGATTCGCTTAACAACCATATTACTAACTTAACAACTGCAGTGGTTCACGTAACAACTATGGCAAGAAAAGTTGTAAGATGGGGCAAAACTCACAATAACAGAAATGTTGGGGCTGAATTGTGGTCGTAAGATGAGGACTACCCCCATTTTGGGGTATTATCTGGACATTTTGTCACTGAAGGAAAGTGTCAACAGAGTTCGGTCACAAACCACACAAATTAACTGGGAGGCTACATGCCACCCCCCACCTGTCCCTGTCTCACCTTTACCTATAAACCCTGTAAAGAGACAATTTGTAAAGGCGATGTCCATGTGTGTTTCAGGCAGTATCCTCTGGAAAGATGGCCGAAGCAGAAGAAGGAGACGTTAGCGTGGAAGTAAAGGTAGAGGAGGATGAGGAGGAGGAGGAAGAAGAAGAAGAGCCTGGCTACATCCAATCTGGGCGGCGGTACAGGTGCCTGACCTGTAGCAAGACTTTCCCCAGCGTGCCACGGGTGTTGCGTCATTTAAAGTCCCACGCGACTGGTACTGTGGATGGCGTAGCTGCCAAACTCGCATGTCCTAATTGCAGGAAAGAGTTTCCTGACCGGGCTCAACTTCGCAAGCACCAGCTCAGCCACCAAACGGAGCGCCCGTACCAATGCCAGCTTTGTGCCAAGGCTTACAAAACTGCCCCCGAGCTGCGGAACCACGGGCGTAGCCACAGTGGCGAGAAGCCCTTTGTTTGCCACGAGTGCGGCAAAGCGTTCATGCAGCCTGTTTGCCTGCGAGTCCACATGGCCCGGCACACTGGAGACCTGCCCTTCCGCTGCCAGCAGTGCCACAAGGGGTACGGCACTCTTTCCAAGCTGAAGATCCACCAGCGTTCTCATACGGGCGAGAAGCCGTACTCCTGCGGTGAATGCAGCAAGCGCTTCGCCGACCCCTCGGTGTTCCGGAAGCACCGCCGGACCCACGCTGGCCTCCGCCCCTACCAGTGTGAGGTGTGCCACAAGACATACGCTGAGCTGAAGGATCTCAAGAATCATGAACGCTCCCACACTGGTGAACGCCCCTTCTTGTGCCAGGATTGTGGGAAGGCCTTTTCCCGGTCCTCATCGCTGGCCTGCCACCAGCGCATCCATGCGGCCCACAAGCCCTACCGCTGCAACCTTTGCGGGAAAGGCTTCACCCAGCTGTCCTCCTTCCAGAGCCACCAGCGGACCCACTCTGGCGAGAAGCCTTTTCTCTGCCCACAGTGCGGACGGATGTTCAGCGACCCCTCCAGCTTTCGCAGGCATCAGCGAGCCCACCAGGGCCTCAAGCCCTACGCCTGCGACAAGTGTGGGAAGGCCTTCCGCCAACCGGCCGACCTGGCCATGCACCAGCGCATCCACACAGGTGAGAGGCCCCACAAGTGTTCGCAGTGCGACAAGAGCTTTGTGGCTTCGTGGGACCTCAAGCGCCACCTGCTGGTGCACTCCGGCCAGCGCCCTCACCAGTGCGGGGAGTGCGGCAAGAGCTTTGCTGAGCGGGCCAGCCTCACCAAACACTACCGTGTGCACTCGGGCGAGCGGCCGTTCAAGTGCGGCCGCTGCGGCAAGGCCTTTGTGGTGTCGTCCAGCCTCCGGAAGCACGAACGCACCCACGGCAACGAGAATAGTGATGACAAGACCACCCCTGTGGGCAACCAGGACCCATTTCTCAGTGACCCATCGGCCATTGTTGTTGCCACCGTGGTGCCCGCCTGTGGGGAGTGTGGGGAGGTCTTTGCCTCCACCCAGGAACTACGCCGCCACGAACGCCTGCTGCACCCTGGCCTGCGCCCGTTTCCATGCCCAGAATGCGGCAAAGGCTTCTCGGACCGGGCCGGCCTGCGCAAGCACGAGCGGATCCACTCGGGGGTCCGTCCCCACGCCTGTCCCCACTGCTCTAAAGCCTTCCTGGGAGCCTCGGACCTGCGCAAGCACCTCAAGACCCATGCAGCCCTAGAGAACAGGAGCGCCGAGGACACCATGGTGACTGCCACCATCATGACCTACGAATCCCTCCTCCCTGCTCATCTCCATCCCCATGACGACGGGACAGAGACTGACAAGGACTCTCCCTCGGATTGTCTGCCTGACCCCCTCACAGAACCCTCGTAAGCTCCGCCTCCCTCCCGCCCTGCCTGTGATTGGGCGGAAAAAAGCCAGCTCAGCTGCTTAAAAGCCCTTTGCGTACTTTGATGATTGCCTCGTCGATGTGATGTGTGTGGACCACGCTCTTCCTAGGCCTCCCGTCCAGCATGGCTCTCCAGCATTTCTTTCCAAGCAGGGCTTGGCGTACTTTGTCACTGGCTGTGTGCGGTTGCCTTTTCTCCCACCTTCCATTGTTGCCCACACTAGATGTTCACTTGCCTGCCCGGTGGGGAATTAAATGTGCCTGGTGTGTGTGTCTCTCTGTGTGTGTGTGTGTGAGTGTAAGACTCACGCTTTTGAAATTTTGCTCAGCAAAAGGGGCCTGCATCTTATGAGATCGCACACGTGTGCATGTGGAGAAGTGTGTTTTTACTGTTTGTAAGGTGATATGCATTCATCTTACGAGGCATTTCTGCCACCGTTGGGAACTGCTGGTGGTTTTTAAATGAAAAGAAGAAAAAAAAACACCCCCTCCAGGTCTTTTTAAGGGCAAGAAGAATTAAATTGAGAAAATTAAGGGAGGAAGCAAAAAAAAAACAATGATTTTTTCTTCCTGAAGAGTTTTTATAAATTATCCGAGGGTTTCTTTGCTTGTAAGAAAAAAATAAAATAAATGGCTTGCTTTTTTTTTTTTAAAAAAAAAGGGGGAAATTGACTTGGATTGCATGTGGGAGGTGCAAAGTTTTGGGCGTGGGGAACAGAATCCTTATATTATCCTTATCTCACCTATTGAAATTCATCTTGCTTATTGAATTTTATTTCATTTTTTTATTTTATTCCTGTATTTATTATATTTCTTTACCATTGCAATCAAAAGCCTCTCAGCAATAAAGGCTCTTTGACTGCTGAGGAGAGGGTTTGAAAATCTTCCTGTTTTCTTCTCCCACTACACTTCCCAAAAAAAAAACTTGCAGTCTTGGTCCTCCTACCATCCATTGATGTCCACAAAGCCTCTGAACTCTGATTGGCTGGCCTGCAGTGATGTCATGGAAGGAGCAGCCCACCAGCGTCTTTTCTGAGTGACGATATATTTATTACGGTGAACAGGGTTTAAACCATCCATAGGATTCTCGGGAAGAGATTCTGAGAGGCAGAGAAACAGAATGGTAGAACGAAGAGGACCAGAAGAAAGGGGCAATGTGTAGGCCAGATGTTAGGAATTGGTGACTTTCCAGGTGTTGTTGAACCATCACCAGCAGCCATAAACCTTGTTGAACCTTCCATCACCAGCAGCCATGCTAACTGTGGCTAAGAAAAGCCAGAAGAAAGGAAAAAGGGAGAAATGAAATCAAAAGATAAATTTCCTTGTTGGCCCAGAAGACAATCATCCTCTAAAGCAGGGGTCTTCAAACTTGGCCCTTTTGTGACTTGTGGACTTCAGCTCCCAGAATTCCTTGCTGAAGAATGCTGGGAGTTGAAGTCCACAAGTCATAAAAGGGCCAGGTTTGAAGACCCCTGCTCTAAAGGGAGTCTTCTCAAAAAGGGATTCTATAGAGATAGCTTTAATTTCAACTCTGATCAGAAGAGTTGCTGGAGGATTTCTGGTTGGGAGGTGTCCATATTTGTCCAACTGTGGGCAAAATTAACGGTAGTCTAAAATGTGAGAATCAACAACTGGTCGACATGAGGAGGAACCACGGAGCAAGTTAGATGGGCAAAAGGTGAGGAAACAAAAAGAATGGATGAACACTCATGAGGGTACTTAGGCAAGTAAAAGAAGTGTCTGCAACCAAACAACCAAGCTCACCACCAAGGTCTCCACAGTTCAGCCTTGAGCTACAGATATTCTCTTATTGACAGGCAGGAAGGAATGGGTGGGTATCTTAGACGGAGTTTCAGTAACTCTTGACTGGAACATCCTGTTTTGGTGTCATCTTGTCATGGCAAAACTATGACCTGGCAGTCCTCCAGGGAATGGCTGAAGGAAGATGGGGTACACTCTCAGATGTTTCTATGGCAGACAGGATCCCTTACTCCTGGCCCAACCTTCAGCAACTTGGAATAAACATCTCATCTACTGTCTTGCCATTTTGAAGGGCACCAGGTTGTATAGGCGTCTTCAAAGGGGTGGTTTTTAGTTTGATGGACTTCAACTCCCAGAATTCTCAGCAATGTTTTTTTTCTGGCTGGAGGTTTCTGGGTGTTGAACTTCACAAATCCAGAGAGCAGGTCAACCTATTGGGGAAGGCTACTTTATCTGCTTCCACTTTTTTTCAAAAGCCCCAGAGGCAAAATATCACACTTCTAAGGTTGCCACATAAGGAATGATAGGAAGCTGTCTTTTGGTGGATGTTACCCTTAAGAGTTGTTCCAGATTATTAGGTTTTTATTCCCCTGTGCTCAGACTGTATAAAC